CTTTCTTTCTTTCTTTCTTTCTTTCTTTCTTTCTTTCTTTCTTTCTTCCTTCCTCCCTTCCTTCCTTCTTTCTTTCCTTCTTTCCTTTCTTCCTTCCTTTCTCTTTCTCTTTTTTTGGCTAGGCAATGGGGTTAAGTAACTTGCCCAGGGTCATACAGCTAGTGTCAAGTGTCTGAGACTGAATTTGAACTCAGACCCTCCTGACTCCCACCACCTAGCTACCCCAGCCACTGAAATTTCTTGAGTTGCGGAATGGCATAGTCAGATTTGTGCTTTAGGAAAATTATCTAGGCAGCTGTGAGGTGATTGAATTGGAGAAGGAAGAGATGGGAAGCAAGAAGACCTTTTAGGAGGCAATTGCATCAGTCAGACGAGAGGGCAGTGAGGACCTGAGCTTGGGTAGTTATGAGTGGAGAGAAGGAGATGGATGTCAGCCATTATGGAGTGAAATTTGCTAAGACTTGTCGACTGATTTGCTATGGGGGTGGAGGAGAAGTAGGAGGTGAGGATGACTCCTAGGTTATGAACTTGGGTGACTGGAAAGATCATAAAACTCTCAATAGAAATAAGGAATTTGGAGTAGGTTAAGTGGAAAGTTAATGAGCTCACTAAATCCTTGAGTTGTTGAATTGAACTACCTGGCCATAGGACAAGGAAATATGTCATAAATATATCATAAATCAGTGGAGAATGGCTTTATATGAGTTCATTTATCTGTGTGGGAAGATAGTCTAAGTAGGTGTGCAGTGACTTTCCACATGGTTGGGAGGGAATGGGTAGGGAATCATACTTATTCCTGTGCCTTCTGGAGGTGGAGTCATATTCCCCAAGGATTCACTAAGTTATTTTCTGAGCATCTCTGAAAAGATGGAGTTTAGAGCTGGAGTTGAGAATAGTTTACTTTCTGTGGTGCCCAAGAAAGAACTGGGATTGATAGTTTCAAAGGAAATGGCTTCCTTTGTTGAATGTAGTCACTGCTGGAGGAGAGGAGTATAGCCAGATGAACATCTGGAGTGGAGCATTCTAATGACTGGAATATCAAGTTTAGTCCAAGAATATTGGGAGCAAGGCTCTCTGGTCAGGAAGCCTGCCAGGTGTTTAGCATCCCATATTAAGGAGCAAAAAAAAAGGTCTCTATTTTCCTATGGTTGGGAGCACACTTCACTGTGTGATGTGCATGGAAATGATTTTCTCTGGAAACCTTGACTTCATTGTTCTTCTGTCCTTTATGTACAATTAAGTGATTTGCATCTCCTTGGAACCAGGCAGTCTAAAAGGTCTATTCTCCAAATGCTTTATTTTCACAAAAAGCAGCAGGTCACCAACTGTCCAGCATTGACCCCTGGCTAGCACTACTTAGAGCACAATGAATGCTACTTTTGATCATCAGCTACCATATTGGTCATCATCTATTTATGACCCTGACATTTATTAGCCTTGCGGCCACAGGCAAACCTTTCATTTCTCTGAAACCATTTCCTTTTTAGGAAAATGGGAATACTCATTCACCAATTACCTATCTCAGGGATATGTTATGAGGGAAGTTCTGAAAGCATTTTAGAAATGGGAGTTATTGTCATAAACTGTAAAGCAATTCAAATTGGAGGTAGTAGTAGTGTAGGGGGAAGCTAGGTGGCACAGTGGATAAAGTATAGGACCTGGAGTCAGGAAGACTCATTTTCCTGAGTCCAAATCTGGCCTCAGACACTTATTAGCTGTGTGACCCTGGGCATATCACTTAATCCTATTTGCCTAAGTTTCTTCACCTGTTAAATGAGCTAGAGATGGAAATGGCAAACCACTCTAGTATCATTGTCAAGAAAATTCCAAATGGGGTCACAAAGTGTCAGACATGACTGAAAAAAAGACTGAACATAAATAGTAGTAGTGTAGCAGTAGTGGTGGTGGTGATGGTGGTAGTAGTAGTAGTAGTAATTTTTGTCTCCCCAGTGCTTAGCACACAGTAGGTACTTAATAAATATTTCTGGATTTCTTGATTGATGGTAATAATAGTAGTAACAGCAATAGTATTAGATGGATGGAAGAGATTGATTACATCATTTTTCCTCAAGATGAATCACTGGTCTGGGAGTCAAGAGATTTGGATTCTTGTCCTGGCCCTACTATGCACCAGCTGTTTGATCTTGGCAAGGCTACTTCCTCTCTCTGGGCCTAGGTTAATCATTTTAAAAATGAGGACAAGATAGTATCTAAGATCTCTAAGATTTGGTATCTAAAGACTCTAAAAATGCCTAAAAATGCTATCTAAAGACTCTAAGATTCTGTAACCTAGAGCATCCTCAAATATGGGGAACATATCTCAAATGAGCTCTTTTTGGGAAGGGAAATTATATATGAGTAAGTGAAACAATAGAAACCATTTCTGGACCCTGGAGGATAGGGTGCTATACCTTCTCTCTCTCTACTGTAAGGTCCTTCTCAGCTTTGGGCTCATGATGAAAGACTGGGTTCTATAGACTGGCCACTTAAAAGAAGGGTCAAGTTCTTTTGTTTTGTCTCTTTGACTTGTTTATATCTTTGCTTGGAATCCCAGATAAAATTACTTAAAGCTTAAGTTTTGGCTTATGTTTAGGCTGCTTAATTTCTGTGTGTGTGTGTGTGTGTGTGTGTGTGTGTGTGTGTGTGTGTGTGTGAATCCTGTGCCAGTGTGGTGAAGCCAATGGACCCTTCTCAGAATAATGCTTTTAATACACAAAACTAAATATATACATATCTATCTATGTATACATATGTATGTGTATGTATGTGTGTATGTATGTATAAAACAAGTTCATAGACCTTAGGCTGAGAATCCCCTGTCTACGATCTCCCTAAAGTGGGAAGTTGAAACATTCTCAATTCAATGTAGATCATGCACAGGACAGCTTTTTATTTCCTCTACATAAAAGAAATGCTTAACATATACAAGACCGACAGAAAGCTTAAACAAGAAGCAGTAACTTAGAATGATTTTGATGTTCTCCCAGGTTGTTGATATTTAAAATATCGTAATGTGATGGGGCTTACAGAAGTGCCAAATAGGCATTTTATATTTCATCTTGGTTCTGCACTGTCCAACTAGCTCCCTTCAGATCCGTGTCTTCCAGAAAGCCAAATCAAGGTGCAGATTCATTCTCCTGATGGTCGTTGTCTTCTCCAAAAATGCCATATTGGATATAGAGAGAGCATCTACAGGTACAGTTGGTACCAACTGAAGATCCAGGATCCCTGCATCTTTCCATCTTACAAGGTGGCCTCCCAGGCTGGAAATGTCCACCTCAGAATTGTTGCTCAGTTACCACCATCAGGTAAAGGCAACTGGGACTTTGAGATCAAATCTCAGACGTGGCCAGGCAGGACATGTTGCTCTAGCTGCCATGAGCTTGGAGTTGTCATGAGGCAACTGGGCAAAGGCTCAATGTCCCAACACAATCTGGAGATGGGAAGAGAAGGCAGAGAGGGTCACTATCTTGTAGAGATATATTGAATGAGCAGCAATTCCTCCTCAGAGACTGATAAGGGATATACTTTGCCCTCTCAAAGCACAAAGCCCTTCCACATTCTATCAAAATGTCCAGGAGCCCCTGGAAATTTCCAGGGGATCTCTGGTGCATGCTTTATGGCATGGCCCTTTAAGCCATTCCCACACTTGCTTTATAGGGTACAACCCTTTTCAATGTATATAAAAGTGCACTGAAAAATAAGACCAATAATAGATTGAAAGCAGGCTTTATAGCATATAATCCAGATGTCGGGAAAGAGTGTGGCCTATATTTGGATCAATACTGTAGCCAATTACATCAACAGTAACTGCCAATTTGAATAACTAGTACTGCTAAAATCCACTTGGGGACCTGAATTGTCCATAATGTCTTTTTACATTAAGAAAAACAACATCCAGCCACATTCCTCAAATAGCATCTAATCTCATACAATACAGTAATATTTATTAGATTCCTACTATGCACAAAGGAGCAGGGGGGTAGTGGAGAGAAAGCTCACTTCCTAGTTAGGAAGACCTGGGTTCCAGTATTGCTTCTGATACGGACTGGCTGTGGGATCTCTCACAAGTTACTTTGACTCACAGTCCATTGTCCTAGGTCACTCTTTAACTCTGTAAGTTACAAGAAGGTTCTGATCAGAATTCGATGATGTCCTGAGAGGTCCCATTGCTGATGCAATCCATCAAAGCTCTGATCAGTCAGAAATGTAAGAGGCTCTGTGCCGGGCAGCGAGTGGTGCAGTGGATAGAGCACCAGGCATAGAGTCAGGAAATCCAGCCTATTTGTGTGACCCAGGACCAGTGAGGATAATTGTAAAGCACTTAGTGCAATACCTGGCACATAGGAAGTGCTATATCTACGTTGACCATTAAATGAAAAACAGTTTTTACCCTCAGGGAGCTCACTCTGCCTCTTTCAAGTCTTTTCTTTCTGACTTCTGTCCTCTCTCCTACTCCCTGCATTCCTCTGCTTCCCTTATCTGTGCATTTGATATTGATTCTTTTCCTGTGACCTTGGGCAAGGCATTCACTTCTCAGTTTCCCCTACCTCTAAAAGGAAGAAATTCTCTAAGGTGTCTTCCAACCCTAAATCTCTGTGTGATACTCTGAGTTCTCTTTTGACTGTGTCTTGAGGAATGAATTTCTGTTGGTAGAAAGGGATGGGGATCAATGCCTACCTTGTATGAATAGCTTCCTTGAATGCATCTCCAGGGAAGGCTGGGAAGTCCTCTTGTGATAGGGAATAAAGAATACTTTCTCTTGGGTGGGACCCTTGTGTCTTAACTGATCCTAAAATTCTTTTAAGAGGAAATTCAGTTCAGCTAATTTCAAGAACCAATTATGAACTAGGGGCTGGGATTACAGAGACAATATTAAAATGTTCTTGTTTTTGAGAAGCTTTTGCCTTACTGGAGAAAATACAACATGTATATGCGTAAATAAATATAGGGCAATCTGAGGAGAGATAAAGCACAGAGTACTAGGGAGCAACAGAGAAGGATTCATGTCAGAACTGGCATCTTAAAGCAAGATAGTGATTCTGAAAGGCAGAGCTGAAGAGAGAGTACGTTCCAAGAGATAGCTGGAAGGATCAGGGAGTCAATGGATAGAGGGAGATAGAATGTTGAATTCTGAGAACAATTAGTACCCCAGTTTGGTCAAAATGTAGAGGGTATTAAGGGAGAATAACGCAAATCATTCAGTAAAGATAGGCGATAGGTTATAACCAGATTGTAAAAAAGTCAGCCCAAGGAATCTGTATTTTATCCTAAAAGCATTAGGCTGCCTACCAAACTGAAGGTCTACAGAGCCATTGTGCTGACCTTATTGTTGTATGCCTGTGAGACCTGGACAGCATACCAGTGCCATGCCAGGAAACAATCACTTCTATTAGAATTGTCTTAGGAAGATTCTGAAGATTACCTGGCAAGAAAAGGTACTGGACACTGAGGTCCTTTCCTGAGCTGAACTGCCAAGCATTCAAACTCTACTACAGAAAGTTCAGCTGTGAGGGGCTGGCTGTGTTGGTTCAAATGCCAAAAGTATGTTTGACTAAAAGACTATTTTACAGAGAACTCACACAAGGCAAACGATCACATGGAAGTCAGAAGAAGTGATACAAGGACATTCTTAAGGTCTCTCTGAAGAACTTTGGTATTAATTATGAGACATGGGAGAGGTGGGCACAGGACCAGTACTGTTGTTCCATTTGGCCACTTAGCACCAATTAACTTTTTCAAAGAGATGATTACTTCAAAGGTATCACAAGAACAAACATATGAACATTTCTCCTTCTTCACTCCCCAGACCTTGGGAGGCATATATTCCCATCGACCACCTCAGCCTCTGGAGGAAGCAGGCTCAAAACTTAGCTCAGTTCCTCTTTAACATTGGTCTCACCAAGTTCATGTCTAGATGTGGCCTGACTGACAGGTGAGTCCTTCTGCTGGGCTGGGTCCCTGAGTTCTCTGCCAAAAATCACTCCTTTCTCCTTGGGGCATTGATGCTGTGTTGACTGAAAAACTTGGTCTGGATTCCTGTTGTTGGATTCCTATGGTTCCTTCTTCCTACTGTTTGAACCCCTCAAAGTTGGAGACTCTACTTCTTTCACCTAGAAAGGAGAATAATTAATGAAAAGACTCATTTTTTCCCCATGAGCTCTTATCAAATGCTGTGAGTGAAGGAGTCATCAAAAGAGACAAATGAGTAAATAAATCAAAGAGGTGGTAGTTGACACCTCCAAATCCAATCCAGGCACTTCCCCTTTACCATATAGGTAGTTCCCCAGTACCAGTTATGGAATGTCTATACATGCAGCACAGTCCCTCCAAGGCACTTCTCTGATGTATTATCACAATTCTCCTGAAAGTAAATTCCCTAGCACCCTCCACAAGAAGAGGCTGCATTAGCTGAGCCAGTGATGAGATGTGCACATGCACCAGACCCCCATTATATGTGCAGGCATCAAATAGATTTTGCTTTTGTTGTTGAGTCATTTCAGTCATGTTTGACTCTCCACGACCACATTTTGGGTTTTCTTGGCAAAGATATTGGAGGGGTCTGCCATTTCCTTCTCCAGCTCATTTTACAGATGAGGAAACTGAGGCAAACAGGGTTATATGATGTACCTAGGGTCACACAGCTACTTAAGTGTCTGAAACCAGATTCAAACTCTGGTCTTCTTAGCTCCAGGTTTGAAATTCTATCTGCTGCACTATCTAGCTGCCCATCCAAATACATAAAATGAGTAAAATAACAGCAGAGATAAACTGGTATCTTATTTATGTGGTCTGTTTTGGATATTCTTTCCTTTCTTATGTTATTTACACTGGCTGTGGACAGCAGAGGAGTCAAGGATGTTAGGGGAAAGAAATGATTTTTCTCTTCTTTGAAGTTAGTTTGAAACCAAAAAAGAAACCTGAGCTACTAGTGAAGTATCTATATACCTCAGGGCACTGAATTATTTTGAGGAATTCTTTGCCTTTAAGGGAAGTGTAAGACAATGATACATGTATTGAAACTGAATACTGTGAAATTGTAGTGACCAAGACTGACACCTAAGAAGATCTATCAGAGTATACCACCCACCCTCCCTTCTTTGCAAAGGTAGGGACTAGAGGTATGGAGCATTGAACATAATATTGGACTTGGCTGATGTTTGTTGGTCTTGATGAACTTTTCTCTTCTCCTTTGGATTCTTTCTATCTGTCTGTCTGTCTATCTATCTATCTGTCTGTCTGTCTGTCTGCCTGCCTACCTGTCTGTCTGTCTCTTCTATCTATCTATCTATCTATCTATCTATCTATCTATCTATCTATCT